GCCTCCTCTACACACTCAAAAACCAGGGCCCCACGCAGCCAGCAAGGCAAGAGATACACGGAGGACCACGGGCCTGAGACGACACACCACAAAAGCCGAATACGGATGCACAGAGAAGACCAACACAAAGCGAGTACTCGCACACTGGTCCTCGAAGGCCAGCTGTTCAACTACCACGAGCAACGAGCAACGAACACTTCCCGAGGGTGGCCACCACTACCTCGCCGGTCCACTCACAAACGAGGCGAAACTGGTCCGCACGTCAGTCTCCTCCTGGGGGTTGCGGGCTCTCGGATGCAGCCCAGCGCGAGACACAGCAAAAACACCTATAGCCGCGGGGGGGATGACAAGCCAGCACGGCGCCCCCCTATAAAGCCCGGAAAAGGCACGGCTCACAGACGCCGCCTGCTCCCGCTTACCACACCGAAATCCCTCCCCTCCTGACCCTGACCGGCCGGGACCAGCAACACCTGTTCTCCACCTCTAAACCACTCTCCTCCACCGCTTTCCCACCTCCTCTCCACTCCCGCAAGCCACCTACGTGTTCTCTACTCTGATGCCAGACAGCACAGAACCCATTCCCCTCACTCCGACGGGCCCCAATTCCCGGGGAGAGGGCAACCACACGAGTATACAAAACACACACAGCCCGGATCCCCAACTCCCCCTGCTAGACCACGCTCAGGGCACTGCCCTCTCGCCCAGCCTTCCAACTGCCCAGGGCCCTCCCTGCTCTCCTCGCTCCCTCACCCATCCCTACTCCTGGCTCTCTCACCCCCTCCCTCACTCTCCCTGCTCCCTTTCCGGTAAGACCTCGACCCGACTCTATCACGGCTATTTAGGCCGTGATTTCCACCGGTGCTGCGCACCGCATCCGTTCCCCCACGACCGCCAGGATGGGGTGCTGCGGCCCGACTCTGTCCCAGCCGTGTCTGGGGGTCTCCAGCATTGCGAACGAGCGCAAACGCGCCCAGAAGTCTGCCACCGCCCGGGCGCGTGCGCGGGCCAGTGGCGAGGCTCCTGTTGCGCCCGCTGTTGCTGCTGCTGCCACCGCCTCGCCCCCTCCCGCCCCTGCTTCCTGCGTTGGCCCGTCCTCCGCTGGGGCGTTTAGAGTGGGTCCTTCTTGCTGCATTGCACCTCCCGCCGGGGTGAAGAAATCTGTGATGGCCCGCTGGCGGGATCTCTGCTGCTGGGGCTGCCCCATCATCTGTCGCTGTCGCTGCTGCTGCTGCTGTCCCGCCGTTGCTGTCGCCCCCATCCGTCCCTGTCGCCGGGTTGCTGCTCGGAGGCAGCACCTGCCGACTTCCATGGCGGATAGCGCCGCTAGGGCGATCACGTCCCAGGGGCCTTGCTCGCACGCGGGTGGTGCTTGGGCAACCCAGAGCTGCTGTCGGGTGGTGGTGGCCCCTACTGTTGTCTGAGTGTGTGGCAGGTGCCTGTCGATCTGCTCCCGTACGGCACGTGCGACTGGACATTCCCAGAAATGGTGCAGACGCGGTGGGCAGGGTCGGCCGGCGGCGCCCCCATAGGTCCCACACCCGCATGGCTCAGTGGGCACCCGGGCTAGGTGCGTGTTGCCAGGTAGGGGCACGCCATCCACGGCGAGACGCCACATGGTCTCCTTGTTCTCATTCTCCCAGCGCACCCCATGCCACAAACGTGCCAGGGTTGCCTGAAAGCGGCTAACCTCGGCAGAATTGTCAGGCTGGTCCTGGGCCTCGGGCGTGTTCAGGGCCTCATGCATGAAGTCGGTCATCAGGCGTATTCACCGCTCGTCCACATGCCCGTTCTGCAGCTGTGTCGCTAGACTGACCGTTAGGCGGCGGAGCGGCACAGCGTCCGTCGCCCCAGGGAGGCGCCACCCCAGGCGCCCGATGATCATAGCCATCACTTGTGCGCAGTCTGGCAGTGTCGCTGCTGGTGATGGTGGCTGCTGCTGGGGCCCCTCCTCCTCCACTTGTTGTTGCTGTCGCAGCCTGATCTCCACCACGTGTGCTGCCGCCAGCCAGGCCGGGCTGATGTCGCTGTGCAGGGCTCCAAGAGCTGCAAGGGCGGCATCCTTGTCCTGCAGCTGGGCGGGGTCTGTGGCTGGGTCGAGGTGCTCACGGGCCCACGAATGCCAGGCTGCTCCCTGGAGGGTGGTGGCTTGGCTAGTGTTTACCGCTTCCCACAACCGTACTAGGTCCCCCACCGTGCGCAGTTTCCTGCATGGTGTCAGTGCTGCGTGGTATGCTTCCAGGCCTGGTCGACGGCTGTTTAGGAGTTTCTGTTTAGAATGTAACATGTTAATGTCAGCCTTTCGCGGTCCATCCTTGTCATTTTCTTTCTGCTTCTTGAATTATCCATCGCGTTGCACAGTCTTGCACGTGTCCTTGCTGAATTGTGATGCCAACCAGGTAGATATGGCCACATATGGAGCCATACGTCAAAGGGAAATGGAGTTCCCTTTCCTCTCGCGATTTGAGAAGAGGCAC